CCCTGCTTCCTCCCCTTCCCCTTCCACCCCTCTGCCCTGTCTAGGGTTCGTCTATTCCTCCCATGCTCCCCCTCCCTACCCCACTAAGAGTCAGACTCCTTATATCAGAGAAAACATTCAGCATTTGTTTTTTTGGGATTGGATAACTTCAATTAGCATTATCTTCTCCAGCACCATCCATTTACCTGCAAATGCCATGCTTTTATTCTCTTTTATTGCTGAAAAAATTCCATTGTGTATATATGCCACATTTTTTATCCATTCATCTCCTGAAGGGCATGTAGGTTGGCTCCACAGTTTAGCTATTGTGAATTGTTCTGCTATAAATATTGATGTGATTGTGTCCCTGTAGTATGCTGATTTTAAGTCCTTTGGGTATAGACCCAGGAGAGGGATAGGATAGTTGGGTCAAATAGGATAGTTCCATTCCCAGATTTCCAAGGAATCTCCATACTGCTTTCCATATTGGCTGCATCAACTTGCAGTCCCACCAGCAATGTATGAGTGTGCCTTTTCCCCCACATCCTCTCCAATACTTATTGTTGTCTTCATAATAGCTGACATTCTGACTGGAGTGAAATGATATCTTAGAGTAGTTTTGATTTGCATTTAGTTGTGCAACCATCACTACTAGCTAATTCCAGACATTTCTCCACCTTCCAGATAACCTTGAAATCATCAGCATCACTCCCTATTCCCTTCTTTCCCCAATTCCTGACAGCCACTAATCTACTTTCTTCCTTTGTAGATTTGCTTATTTTGGAAATTGCACATAAATTGAATCATATAACATGTGGCCTTTTGTGTCTGGCTTCCTTCACTTAGTGTAATGTTTTCAAGGTTCACCTATGTTAAAATCTTACCTTATTCCTTTTTATGATCAGATAAAAGTCCATTGTATTCCATTGTATGGCTACACCACATTTCATTTATTTGGGAGCATTTGAGTTGCTTCCACTTTTTTAAATAGGAATAATGCTCTAAAATATTTGTTTGATCCTGTCTTTCTTGCTGCATGCCCTACTACATGTGTTTGTGTGGACATATGTTTCCATTCCTGTAGGAGTGGAATGGCTGAATCATATGGTACTTTTGAGTCTGACATTTTGAAAAACTACCAGAATATCACCAGCAATGACTGAGACTTTCAGTTTTTTCACATGTTCCCCAACATTTGTCATTGGGTGTCTTTTTTATTATAGCCGTCTTCATGGTATGAAGTGGTGTCTCATTCACATTTCAAATTGAATTTCCCTAATGATGATAATGTTAAGCATTTTCTCTAATTACATATCTTTCTTAGAGAAACATCATTTCAAATTATTTGTCAACTTTTTACTTGAGTTATTTTCTCCTGAGTTGTAGTATCTTTGTATAATCTGGATATAAGTTCTTTATCTATAAATATTTTCTTCTGTTCTATGAGTTTTTCCTTCTTTTCGCTTCCTTGATGGCATCCTTTGGGGTACAGACAAAAATTTTGGTGAAATCACATTTGTCTGTTTTTTTTTTCCTTTCTTTGGTTGTTCTTTTGATGTCCTATCTAAGAAACCCACGTTTACTCTACAGTCACAAAGCTTACTCCTGTGTTTTCTTCTGAGAGTTCTATAATTTTCACTTTTACATGTCTGATCCATTTTGACATGATTTTTGTGTATGATTCCAGGTTCTGTTCAACTTCATTCTTTTGCATGTGGCTATTCAGTTACCAGCTATTAATTATTGAGTTCATGGCGTTAAGCATTCCTTCATTTGCATGGACCAGTTGTATATTTTCCTGAAGAAATATCATTTTGAATACTTGGTCACATATATTTTGTGAGAGTCAGGACAAGGTCTTGCTATGCTTCCCAGTCTGGTCTCAATCTCCTGAGCTCAAGTGATCCTTCTACCTTAGCCTCCCAAGTAGCTAGGACTACAGGTACCTGTCATCATGCCTGGTCCTTTGCTGACTTTTTTATGATAATGTCCCAGGTACTATTCTTGATTCTGGGAAAACAGAGATAAATAATTCATAGCTGTTGCTCTTCATAGATCTAACCTTTGTGGTGTGGGGAATTAAAGAGAAATAGCAAATAACATGGTGAAATAGTGTGTGTATGATGCTGGCCCTGTGCTTGGCCCCTAGAGTGTGTATAGTAAATGGTGCCTTCTCTGAAAATAGTGTTATTAATGGCCATTATTATTATAAATGTTAATCCTGAAGTATGCACGAAGTGTTGTGGAGGAAGGAGTGACTGACTTTTCCATGTCTCCAGATTGTGTCACTTACAAACACTTCTGAGGCCCAGGAAGAGGAGGGGTGTAGGGCCTTTGAGAGAGGATGGACCTCAGGTGTGTGTATCTTGGAAGCAGCTGGTTTTCTTGCCCTTGTTGAATGTCATCTCAGAACTTGGCTATGTGACTGCTGATTCCTGTCCCACTCTGTACCTAAGAAGGGACATCCACCTTCATAGCTCCGTACAGATTTTGAAGGGAATTGTAAAGGCTAATTGTAAATTATGAAATGTTTCTAAATAGATTACATAGGTATGTTGTCTTGTCTTGAATATCATATAAATAGATCCTAAAAATCTCTATTCCTTGATGACTGACCTCATAAATTATAGAGCAAAGGTGACTTTTTCATGTAAAAATTATAGCACTCTTTGTAAAATAGCAAAAGGTATTAATTTATATAATTCTATCATATGACTCAATCATTACTAATAGTGGGAAGTATTGCTGGATTGCATTTGGGCTCCACATTCCAAAAAGAACCCATTATAATTCTTTTTTGGGGGGTGCTGGGAATTGAACCTAGGGCCTTGTGCTTGTGAGGCAAGCACTCTACCAACTGAGCTACATCCCTAGCCCAAAAAGATGATTTTAAGAAATCGTTTTTCCACCATATTGGTCATTTGTTTTGTCATCTTCTAGCACATGTTAGCAAAGAAGTGAGAACAGGTGCCATAAGTTTAAGAAAAATGTGTTGGAGATTTTTTAAGAAACCTTAAACCACACACATTCCAAAAATTAACATAATTTAATTTAAGCTGCAAAACACTTTAGTCTGGTTGGGTAGGATGCAGTTGTTTTAAAGGATAATTTTAGAACTGCTGATGCAGGGCTTAGATCTCAATTTAAACACATAGTATTCTGTCAAAAAAAAAAAATGAAGGTTTTGCTACACATGGTGGTGCACATCTGTAATCCCAGTGGCTCAGGAGGCTGAAGCAGGAGGATTTCAAGTTCAAGACCAGCCTCAGCAACTTAGTAAGGCCCTAGGCAACTTAGGGAGACCCTGTCTCAAAATAAAAAAATAAAAAGGGCTGGAGACATGGCTTAATGGCTAAGGGCCCCTGGGTTCAATCCCTGGTACAAAAATTAATAAAGATTTTAATATCTGATTTTTATGTCATTAATCTACCAGCTATGGATTTTCATTCAGTCGTCATCTTAGTTCAGTCCATCAGGCATGTATCAGCTGCCAGATACACAGAGAGATCACACCCTGTTCAAGGGTGTGATTTCTTGTCCTGAAGGAGCTCATGATTTGTAGGAGACACAGTGTCCAGTGTAGGACACATACATTGCTAGTTACAAGAAGCAGCAAATTTTGATACCTGCTCTCATGAAGTTATCAAAGGCTTAGAAGCACAAAGCAAGCAATGATTGGTCCAGATTCTGAATGGGGCCAATCTGGAAGAGTTTTCCCAAAGAGCTGGCACATGATCTGGAGCCTGAAGAGCCAGCAGAGATAGGGTCCAGGAAGGCCACCATGTGAGCACAGAGGTAGAGAGGTATGCAGGATAAACTGAGGAAGTGAGGTCACCTGGAACACCTGGAATGATGAAGGGATGTAGTAGGGCATGCAGCAAGAAAGACAGGAACAAACCAGTGTGCAGCCTTGATTTAGCTAACTAATGAGTTTGGACTTGATTTTGTACCACTAGGGAGCCATGGAGGATTTTTGTGTAGGACTGTGGCATGATCAGTATAGAAGGAGGTCAAAGATTAAGTTGAAGGTGGGGGAAAAAAATTAAAGACCATGGTTAGATGATGAAAATATCATCTTTCCAATTTTATTTCATTTAAAAATCCCAAGGAGTGGCTATGTGTTTAAATTTTAATAGTTAATTTTGCATCTGTCATACTATTTCTCTCCTCTTGTACTTTTAACAGAATCCAAGCAAAAGCTGATAAAGCATGAACTTCTTTTTTTATTTTTATTTTTTTGCAAGAATAACATCTGAGTCAGTACGCCAGATTTTCTCCTTAAATATCTCATAGCCAAGAGAAAGAACCAGCACTCAGTTTTACATTTTAGGAACAGGACAAGGAAATGGGTCTATATTACAGAAAAAAGTAGAATTGACATAAAGCAGGACAGTTAGATAAGACTTTAGTCTCTAGGCTAGGACTGAAATCAGTTACTAGGATTGCACTCCAGCTGTGCCTCTCATCAGCTGTGCAACCTTAGGCATGTTACTTAAGCAATCCGTGCCTCAGTTCTTTCATCGGTAAGATACGGGTAACAGTAGTTATCCGCAGGCATTGTTATGAGGATTAAAAAAATTGACATATGGAAAGTGCTCCAAACAGTGCCTGGACCATAATAAGAGCTCAATAAATGTGAAGAGTTGTTATTTCATTGCTAGCTAATAAAAATGAATTTTCTGGCCATGACACATTATAATTTACAAAACTTTTTCACATACCCACTAGGTCTGGAATTGCCTAGCAAAGCATGTCTCAGAACATCCCCCTATCTTTAAGCAAAACACAAGGTGTATATTTCTTTTAAAAGTATGAGGTTTGCATAAAAAAGCTTGTATATATAAAAGCTTGTACACAAATTTTTGCATATAAAAACTTGTACACAGATTTTATATTTTAAGGAAGTCCAAGGATGAGTTCAGTCCTCGAATTCTTCAGGCAGCAACTTGGTCCATTTTCTTATGAGGAAAATTCTCTGAAAATGTCCTGGAAACTGAACTATGATTTCATTTGTTCTCTAGGAAAATCTCACCTGGCCATTGTCCAGCGGGTGAATAACGAGGGAGAAGGGGACCCTTTTTATGAGGTGATGGGCATTGTCACACTGGAGGACATCATAGAGGAGATCATCAAGTCAGAGATCCTGGACGAAACTGACCTCTACAGTAAGTTCAGGGCCTCGGCTGTTTCTCCGAGGTCATCTTATTTTCCTCACAATTAGCTTGATGTGTACAGTGTAAAAATGTCAGGGCAAGCCCTATGCACTGATGTGTGACAGCCACCTCTGCCTGGTGCTGGCACAGCCAGATACCATGGCCTGAATCAACCTGAGTCACTAGCAAAGTGTGAATCAGGAGACAACCTCCAGGAACTAGCCTAGACTAGGGAAAGGAGACCTCCCAGCCTTTGGATGAAAAAGAGACATGGTGTACACTTCAGGGTGGCTGGAACCTTTCTGTCCTTGTTTCTGCCCCGTGTTGTTCCTGAATTGCCTTTTTGTATACTTGGAGGCAGATCCCAGGACCCCTTGGAGTTCCACTTACACCAGACCACCAGGGGGACCGCAGTGGAGACTGTCGTGGCATTGCCCTCTCCACACCTAAGCCAAAAACTTAAATGTCCCTTCTTGGATGCTGCTCTTCTCCCCGATCCCTTTTGACATCACCACCCTGGGTTCCTCATTGTCCCCGCTCGCCCCTGAAGCAAGTGCCTGCCTGGCTCCTACCCCTACTCCCCTCACCCTCCTACCCTACCACCTCAGGAACAAAATGGACTCCTCTCTGCAGACACTTCTTTGACTTCCAAGCCTTAACAAAGCTCTGCTTGCAAACATTACGAAGGCGTGCTTTGTCTCTGGGATGGGAATGTTTTCTAAATCCAGGGAAGTCACTGGGCCAGGAAGTGTTTCCTCCTCAGGATTTCATCTCATGGGACAGCCATCCCTTTCCCGTCAGATATCTCAGTTCAGACCTCTGTCCTTAGTTTGATAGAAGTAGCCTTTGAGAAATGCTCCCGGGAGGAAAAGCATTGATTCCATATGGTGCAGAAAGGGAGCCTCCCCTCTGGATCTAGACAAGATCAAACCTGAAAGCTGGGCCAGAACTTGACAAAATCTAGGGGGAGTGTCACAGTGCCTCCCTCCAGGGACCTGTTTTTTTCTGTGCTGTGCTGGCCAGACTCTTTGAACAGGGATTGAGCTCAGAAATGGCCTCTCCATCTCCATTCCAGCTCCCTTTTCCACCTGTGCCCACACCCTTGCTCTGGAACTCCCAAGTGTCTCAGTAGAGACAATTGTGAAAACATCACATTGGAGTATTATTGTCTGAGAGTTGTTTAAATGAGTAAGGTCCTCTCAGTGTATTTGTTTAAACAACCTTACTGTTTCATTTCTAATTAAAGAAATGAAGGGAGAGATCAGAGGAATGTTTCTCTAATGACTAAATATGGAGTGCCATTCTGATGGGGGAGAGGGAGGGATATGTAGGCAAACGTGTCATACAAATCAGAAGGTCCTGAACCTTGCCTTGCTACTCATATGTTGAATGATCCTCTTTCTACAGAAGAGGGTCAGGGATTTTCTACCCTTAAATAAAAAATTCTGGTGCAATTCTTTAAGAACTGTGAAAAGACCGATGAGCCAGGAATATTGTGTTTCTTCGTACATGACCCTGACTTCTTATGTGATCTGGACACCTGCATCTCCACACCTAAGCAAAAGGAGCATTGTTAAAGAAGGGACCCAATGACTACAAAGACCCACAAAAGTGGGTGGAAGGGCACTTTCTCCCTTCTAGAAGGAAATTTAAAGGATCCAGAAGAAGCAGGCTCCAAAAGAAGAGGGAGTCAGATTCTGGAGTCCTGTTTCCTGCCCGGGTTCACCCCCTTCCATTTCTACTGCCTCCAGTCCACTTGCACAATAAGTTCCCTGTAGCCTTGTTGTTTTTCAGGTCAAGTTTGGAGAGAGAACCCAGGTCCCTTTCCTGTTCCCCTTAGCACAGGTGAGATAGGCTAGCAGTTTCAAAATGTTTTCAAAGCTCAGGGAAAGCAAGAGAAATGACCAGAAAACATCCCCACTAAATGTACAGCTCTGTTTTTTTTTCAAAGACAACCTTAAAAATTAAGAAAAAAATTAAATTGGGGGAAGCAAATTTTCTCAACCTCTAATCACATGCCCAGTATACAGGCTTTTGGAGGCTCCAGGACCTGCCTAAGTCCCCTGCATTTATAGATTATGGATCCACTCTGTTTCTTCTCCTTTCTTTCTTATTGTATTTTCCCTGATTTTTTCCAGTAGAGGGGCTGGGGTTGAAGCATGAGAACTCTGGCTGGTAAGAAAGTGGCATGCCTCCGCTATTGCTCAGAGCATGGTTTAAATCAGCAGGAAGATGAACTCAGTTTGGGGGAAAAGAGGGGGTCAGAAGCAGAAATGCCCAGGGCCCCACCAACCCCAAGAATGTCAGTCCTTCAGGTTTGTATGACTGTATAAGCGCTTTCACGTGTGATCTCCTGTTGATGTTTCATAGTAACTACATTAGATAAGTAGAAGTGCTATGTTTAAATATGCTTGCCTCCTTGTATAGATTAAAGCAAACAGAAACTCTGGTGCTTAGAGAGGCTGCACAGCTGATAAGTAGAGGAGCCAGCGCCAGAATCCCGACTTGGGAACCCCACGCCAGCCTTTTTCCCTTTGCTACTTCTACACCTAAGAGTAGATCACACTGAGAAGTTGAGAGCTATCTCCCACCTGCTACCCCATGTTGGTCACCTCTCTTCTGGCAAAGAGGCATTGTGATGTCCTAGAACAGAAGATAATAGTTGGCCCTGCAGAAATGTGTGTGGTCCCAAAGGATGTGTCTGTGTCCCCTGTGACTCTTGTTAAATCTCTAAAGATCAATAATGATTCTGAGATAGTTGAAATCTGACCCCTGTGACCCTGCAGCCGACAATCGGAAAAAGCAGAGGGTCCCACACCGGGAGAGGAAGCGGCATGACTTCTCCTTATTTAAGCTTTCCGACTCAGAAATCAGAGTGAAGATCTCGCCACAGCTTCTGCTAGCCACACACCGATTCATGGCCACAGGTAAGACCCCACCCTGGTCTCCAGCCTAAAGCAGCCCCAGCAGAATCTAGGGTGGGACCAGGCACCACCCACTGTAATACCTTCCAACTTCACCTCCACATGTGGAGGCACCAAGAAACCACTGTTCTAGGAAGAAGGTTGCCTTCTGCAGGGTGACAGAATGCCTCTCCCTGTCCTGAGGTGAGAAGCTAAAAATAAACTCCTTGTGAGGAAGGTAAAAATTGTCTTTGAACTCTCTGACCTTCTCAGCCACACTTAATCAATGTGCTAAACTAGAATGAGCATATCCATCTCTTAAATTCAGTGTTTTATTAAGTCAGCATGTATTTATTGAGTATACAATGAGTGCTAGGAAGCACCGTTCCATGTGCTGAAAAGTAGAAAATTTTAAATTAGAGCTTTTTTAAAGTCAGGTTTTCAACATGTGATCTAGTTCTGAATACAGATTTCTTTCAACCACAGGCTCATTTCCCAGAACAAAGCAGTTCTACCTGTTTAATGTAATCTAATAATATGCTAAAGTATAAATATATAATAATATCTATTAATAAATAAATGTGATACAATGATGCTTCACATTATTGACAACTTATCATTTAAATAAGTACCTGTCTCAATAAACTTGGGATTACATTGCATTCATCAGACAAATGTCATGCAGATAAGTCAGAAAAAATTCTCTGTATTTCATTCTATGATAGTGTTAAAGTCTTTGTTCTCTATATGGCTTAGTTATCCATGCCCAACTTTAAATAAAAATCAAAGAGAAAATTAATAACAAACTGACAGTTCCAGACTGGTGACCTACTTCTCCTGAGATGCTGTTGCAGAGACACAAGTCCCCAGAGGGCATGAGGAAGGCCCCGAGATGCACACTTGGATTTAGAATCCTTCATCCCCAAGGAATCACAGAAGCCCACCAGCCCAGTGCCCGGGGATTTGAAGGGGGTGTTCTACATGAACTCAGCTGCACCTGACTCCTCCCAGCTACCACTGCTGAAGTGGGCAGGGCATGGGAGGGGCTCACTCCTCTCTACCTCCCACTGTCTCCTAGAAGTGGAGCCTTTTAAGTCTTTGTACCTTTCGGAGAAGATCCTGCTCCGTCTCCTGAAACATCCCAATGTGATCCAGGAGCTGAAATTTGACGAGAAGAATAAGAAGGCCCCAGAACACTACCTCTACCAGCGCAACCGCCCTGTGGACTACTTTGTGCTGCTCCTACAGGTGAGTAGGAAAGTCAGGGAACTTGTAAGGGCAAGAGGAAGGCATCTGCAGAGCAAAGGGGAATGGCATGCCTTCCTCCATGCCAGGTGCCAAGCCTTGGCTGGCTGCCGTGAGAGAAAGACCACTGGGGAAGTCATTTCTGTGTGACCTACAGGAGGGGCCTAGGTAGAAAAGACTAGTGTCCTAGGAGAGGCGAGATCTTTGAACTTTAGTCTGACCCCTCAGTGATATTTCAGGAGGGACTGAACTTCTGAAACTGCTACCCTGCACAATCCCAGGGATCTCCTTATCTCTGCTTTATCCCTCAAAGTGAAACTGTCTACTGCCTCATAAAATTTAGACAATTCTTATTTAAACCCTTTCCTCTGTCAAGCTGAAATCTCACTGTCTCTGACTTCCACACTGGTCCTCTTTGTGCTCTCTGGAGGCACATGGGACGCATTTGTTGTCTATGCCACATTCAACCTTTGCATCTTCTCCCCTTCAGAGGAGCAGGAAGGGAGAAGATGACTAAGTAAAATAAGTGCAGCATCTTCCCGGTATTCATTCAAGGATGATCACTTTCTGCCCTGGGTCAGGCCTGACTTGAATAAGTGTCAGGTGTGGTTCTACTGGAACACTGTTGGTGCCCTGTCCTGGCCCCACCATGAGCTCAGTCTCTGATTCTCTGTCTCTTCCCAACAGAATCATATGGACCCTAAAAAAATGATGGTCTTGAGAACTTGATAAAGCTCAATGAACTTAGAAATTACCTCTCTTTGTTGTGGTCCACCTTGGCCTCTGCTCTGACACTGTCATTTGCCTCACAAATATCTTTCTAAATAGCCTCAAAAAAAAAAAAAAAAAAAGGACCTTTCGTCTCCAAAAATGGAGTCACATTCTTCAGTGTTGGCAATTGAGATGAGTCCCGTTACAGTATTTATAAAACATAATACCACATACAACCTTTGTCTTACACTAATCAAAAAAATCTTGGTTCTCATATAAAATGTGAAGGGAACAAAATTTATAGCAAAAGGGTAGGCTCAGAAATTGGAAAGATATGCCTTTAAAATTCCAATGTTGCCATTTTCTAACTAACCTGACTGTTACTTAACTTCTCTGAGCCTCAAAATTGATGCATGTAAACTAGGGATAAAAATGGTATAGATCCCATGGGACTGTGGGGTCAGTTGAAAAAGAATCCATGTTTGCATATAACCCAGTATCAGATCCATAAACACACTATACACTAGCCATAACTATCATCTATAATTCAAAAAGCTTCACACATGATTATATTTTTTTAGTTGTAGATGAACACAATAAATACCTTTATTTTATTTATTTATTTTTATGTGGTGCTGAGGATTGAACCCGGTGCCTCACATGTGGTAGGCAAGTGCTCTAACACTGAGCTACAACCTCAGCCCCATGATTAGATTTTATCTCAGCCAGACTTTTTTTTTTTTTTTAATGGTCTAATCTCAGACTAACCCAGTTGGGGGAATGTTTATTTATGGGGCTCTGACTTTTAGCTGGTTCTTGATCCTGTGTCATGGGAGGGCCATTACTGTATGCAAGGAGAGCTTGGTTATTCATGACTGGGTGCTGCTTTATGAATAATGAAGGAATGAGTTTACTGCGAAGAGTTACCTAAGCTGGAGCTGTTGTTTTTGCAGCATAGATCTGGATAGAATTAATATTGCCCTGTGATAAAAACAAAAATCTACTTGTCATCCAAGCCAAAGTCTTTAGGGTCATAATTGATAATAGACCTGGAATTGCTCATACACACAACGCCCTCAGTACCCTCCTTCTTTCTCCAGGGTAAAGTGGAAGTGGAGGTCGGTAAGGAAGGCCTTCGCTTTGAGAATGGAGCCTTTACCTACTATGGTGTCCCAGCCATCATGACTACTGCTTGCTCAGGTATTCCATTTTCCAAGCCATGGCTTGTTGGGGAAGCAATGGAATGTCTTAGAAAAATCATCTAGGCTCAAGTCTTGACTCCTCTTTTGACTCCTGTCACGGACTCTGGACAAGCCACTCAACTTCCTCGGCTTCAGTTTCCTCTCTGAAAAATGGGCATAAAAATCACTTTTCATAAACTTTGTTCATGCTTAAAAAAAATAAGAAAGGAAAAATGAAGTTGGAAAAAGCAATCACATTATCAAGTGTTGGGGATGGAGAGTGGTATTTCTCAGTGTGAAAGACAAGTTTATTTTGCTTTTTTATACTTGTTTCCTACCTTCCCTTTGCTTGCCTTGTTTTTACAGGGTTAATTGGTAGTGGGGGGCGGAATGGAAGTAGAGATTCCCAGAAGAAGGTGTGTTTTCTGAATGGCCTCTGAAACCCACTGCATCCTTCTGTCCTTAGATAATGACGTGCGGAAGGTTGGAAGTCTGGCTGGATCCTCTGTCTTTCGTATGTATCTCTCAAACCCCTTCCTCGTCCTTCCCATCGTGGTCCTGCCTCAGCCTACTCTGGGGACCTGGACCAAGCACTTTGAGCCTGGGATGGGCTAACACAAATGCTGGCAGCCTCTTTGTAATACTCTGCCAGGAACACTGCCTCCTGCCAGGTACCCACAGACCACGGGGGCTCAGGTTCTGAGTGTCCGGAATGTTTTCTGTGGCTTCTCTGCTCACATGCAAGTAATGAATGGTGGTAGGGGGTAGGTTTGTGATGCAGGTACCATTTATTGCCACCTGCCAGGCATTGCAGGCGGGTGACTTGTGTGCTTTGGTGGAGGTCAATCTTTCCTTCTCCGCAATGATAATTCGCCCTGGCCTTTACTTGAAAACCCCCATGTGCTATTGTTGTGTCTTGTGATATTTGTCCTCAGTAAAAAGTGACTGTGAGATTTGGGGATGTAAATCTCAGGCTGGTGCAATATGTTGCTTATCTGCTTCTCTCTCCTTGCTCACCACCTCTCAGCTGGTGACAAGGTGGCTACCAGCTGGCCATGCATGCTGCTGGGGCAGGGGGCAGGGGAAGCTGGCACAGGGCTAATGGCTGGTTTGCTCTGCACCTTCTGTGCTGTATCTTCTTGCTGTTTCCTGTGTACAATTATTGCACATGTGTTTAGAGAGCATGGCATTTATTGTAATAGCAATGATTCAGAAAGAATTCTTTCTCTAGATTTCCTTTTGATTCACTGGTCTGAATTTTGCATTGCATTCAGCTGTTAGTGTTTACGATGGCCACTTAAATACCAAATGGGGTGTTTGTTTTCTCTCATCATAACAAAGATTTTGCATATGCCTTCTATTGGGATTTATTAGAGGGTCCCAGAGTTTGATATCATAGTCCCCAGAACACAGAAAGGTAAATGCCATTTTAGAATGAGAGAAACTAAAGAAATGGCTGGCTCCAGATTACCCAGCAAGTTAGTGACTTACCTAGATGCATCCTGGTGTCCAGACTAGCTCATGCAGCACGATGAAATACAGATTTTAGATCTATCATGTTCCAGAATGCAATTGCATTGTGGAAACAGTGGAACAATTGGCCATGTAATTTCACTTTCCAGCCCAGCAGATGGCTGAAGTGAAGTCTATGTATCTGCCACACCAAAGAACTCGAATTAAAGATCTGTTTTTTAAAAAAGGTACGTAATTATACTTATGAAAGCCAACAAATCTCAATCAAGGTTGATGAAGGAAGCAAGTACTCAACATAAGAATGCCAGATGGGTGAGGAACAGGTTGCTTTCTCAAAAGGCGATTTCTACCATCTATCACAAGACTGCTCTTGGAACTCTAATATGTTCCTAGAAATGTTGGCCCTGTTCTTGCTCTTCTATAAGAAAAAAGAGATAGGAACTCTGAGAAAAAAAGAGTTTCATGGGGCTTCTCAACCCACCCACCCAATTTAAATGGCCTGTCTTTAAGGAAACAAATTTTAAAAAGTCCTCTGACACTGCCAAGAAAAAGAAAAAAAATTAATAGGAAGATCTTATCTTTTTTTCCTTATTTCCTTACCTCCTGATTCTAATTCTTTCTGTCAAATCCTTCAGTCTTATCAGTGAGACAGGAGTAAACTCGCACTGCTCCCTCCTTTACTAAAGGGAAGCATTAAACTCCCTCCCTATGCTTCTGAGTACCTTCATAAATCTTCCAGAGCAAAAACCAAATGATAGGGCTGGGGATATAGCTCAGTTGGTAGAGTGCTTACCGCCTATGCACAAGGCCCTGGGTTCAATCCCCAGCACCACAAAAAGAAAGATAGAAAGAAATGATATTAGCCAATAGGGGTAAAGAGAGATATTTTTCCATCCTCCCCCAAGACCTCCCTACTAGGGGCATGGTGTGTGAAATAATTGCAAAAGCTACCCATACCCAGGGTTGTTCCCCCACCCACCAGCAATATCTTTCGCTGGCCCAGAACCTTAGTTGATAGGTTGAAGGACAACATGATCCTAAGCTACAGAGCAGTAAACTCTTGCAGGGTCTTGGCCTAGCAAACTTCCCCTGTCCCTGAAGCCAGCTTGCAGCTTAAATAGCCTTTTAGGGTGAGAAGTAAAATGGAATTTGCCAGATCACTGGCCCTGTGACTATGCATTGAAGTTGAACTGAGATTCCAAGGAAGCCTCTCTGGTTTTCCTGGGTGGGGTGAAGGGAACACAACCCACACTGTCTCCTTTATCTTCATTCTGATTTCTGACAATCCAGGAGACCATGGTGAGCCTGAATCTGAAGGAATCTTACCTGAGCTCAGGGCAGCCAGGACAGGTGTGGGGGGCAGAGAACACATCTTCTATTTGGTAGTGTATATATTTAATTCAAGAACTATGGTACTTCTTGAGTCTATGGGGTTTCTTACTCCAGTGTGTCTAATTAATACTTCACATTAGAATTAATGATTATCTGGGATCATAAAGCCCCATTTCCCACTGCCCTGCATGGGTAAGTAATTTCAAATAAAATCCTGTGGTGCAGGAAATAAGGCCTCAGAAGCTGTTTCTGTGTGCCTCCACCTGCAGACTGACTTTGTTTGGCTCCTTGGAAGGAACTCTGGGAGCTATCAGATAAGACAGGTAAAGGCAGATTCTCAGGAAGAAACTCCTCTTGATGGGGAGTTTCTTCTTAAGGTGGGGAAAAGACTAGAAGAAGCTCCGCCTCCCACCCAAGGACCATGTGAAATGATAGCCAGCAAGAACCATTTCTGAAACTAGGAAAAGAGAGAAGAAAAAAGAGATAGACGGGTGTTTCAGAGCACTTATATTTGCTAAGAAGTGACTGAGATTTAATTCATCAAGTTGATTCACATTGAAACCAGTAGAATGCTGCCCTTCCCTTGTCCCCATCCTCTAGCAAGCAATGCACCATTGCTTATCTGCACCATGACCACAGAGGGAGTGTGACGCTTCCTCCAGGGCTGCCCTAGCAGGAGTATGCACTTGGCTTTCAGGCTTATGAATGCTATGCAGGACACACAAGGCAGCTGGGAAGCCCCATGGGAATGCAGTGCTGGGCTCCCAGGACGTTTGCTGGCTCAAGGTGGGCACCGAAGAGAGAATGCTGCCTACGCACTCCCCACGGGGGCTGTCAATGCTTGTCATTGACATCTCTGGTTCCCTCTGAGATTATTGTGCATTTTTTCAGAAGAACTTTAGCAAAGTCCATTTTATTTTCTTGTCTTTCTGGAGAGTGGCTTTGTAAGCAGATGCAGCTCCCATGTTTTCAGAGGCAAGATTCCTTTTTGCAGAGAAATGTGATGTTGTGAAGATCCAGGAACAGACTGTCTCACCCACTTTGCTCTTTGTCTCTCTCCTTTTGTTTATCTTCCCCTTCGCCTCTCACACATCCTTGGCCCCTGACTCTTTAGTGCCCGTCTCTGTGTCTCGTACCTTCGCCTTCAGCAGAGGGGACTCTCTGGCAGGCTCCCCAGGTAAACATGCATGGCGTCTCAGGTCTTCAGATCCAATGTAGTTTGCAGGAGGCCTTTGGTCTCTGTCCCTGTCCTGCATGAGATCTTGTCTCTCCCAACAGGCACTCCCATGTCTACAGCATAGTGCACACACAGTCCAGGCATTTCTGGTTCAATGGCATTATTTATGAATTTCCCTCCCCAGCATGTATCTGTGTATATACATGGGAAGTGGTGGGGGTGAGGATAGTTGTGAGTTTTTCCTTATCATTTTTCTGATTGCAGATTGGAGGGATAGATCTCTGCCTTGAGCTAACCCATCCCTCTTTTACTAGTAATGTACCATGGAATAGTGATATTCCCTCTGACTGTGCTCATAGGATGCTATATGTAAAAATTACAAAACATTTTTTCGTTAGGTTTAACCTCTCATGTTAATTAAGATTGCTGATTTGCTTTTAATCAAGTAAAACCTCATAGAGCTACACAGGAACTTAGCGGCTGAATAGAATGTAATGAATCTGAACAAATAGCTGTTTATATTGTTTTCTTCTCCAGAGGTTATTCTCTTAGGCCCACAGAGCAAGTAATGACCAAAGCAGGAATTTATTTGTTCAATTGCCTTGCTGTTAGAAAGCAGTCCAATTTCCTGTAGCCTCTACACCTGTGTCCCTTATCCCAATGTGCCATCAGACCCTCAATCATGAAGAATCCAGGTATGTTTTGCTGTCTGGATCGTAGACCCTCAACACTGAAAAGGGCTATGTCCTGAGACCTTAAACCCCGCTGTCTGCAACTTCAGAAGTATTTATGTTGACTTCTTTTTTCTCCCAAATCACATTTTTCCATCAAAAACCATCTGGTTCCCATGTTTATCTGTTCAAGACAAGTTAACCACCTTCTCAAATTTCACCAAAGTTTTCTCTCTCACTTGATGGTGATTTTCCACTAAAGAAATAAAGTTTTCCATGCTCATGCCTTCATGATGAATACCAGGTAGTACAGTCAATGTGAGATGCCAGTCTGGCACCCTTACCAGCTAAGTGGTCTATTCCTGCATGCCTGCAAAATTAGAAATGACCACATCATGAACCATCAAGATCCTTAACATGCGGTGAATCGCAGAGAATGCCAAGAGTATGCTGTGAATGTTCTGCAGGGGACACATTTTTAAAAGATTTTCTACTGAAAGTATCAAAGCAGCGGCATATTTCCCTTTTTTAAATTTTCTCATTTTTTTCTCATTTTTTTTTCATGGCACTGGGGTTTGGACCCAAGGGCACTCAACCACTGAGGTATATCCCCTAGTACCTTTTATTTTTTAGTTTGAGACAAGATCTCTCCAAATTGCACAGGCTGTCCTTAAACTTATAATCTTCCTATCTCTGCCTCATGAGTAGCTGGGATTACAGGTGTGCTACACCCTACCTGGCTGTATTTTCTTTTTAAATTAAATTCAGTTAACCAGTATCCTGTTAATTATAATTTCTCAGTTTAAGAAAGGTTAATTCAAGTTCATTAATATTTATTATGACGAACTTCATGGCAACCTAGTCAGAAAGAGATTAAAAATGACTCATTCTTGCTGTGCAGTCTCCCCCAGGAGGGGCTGAGTCGTCTTTGACTCTGGCTGGGGACAAAGTCAAACTTTCCCCCCATTCTCTGTGACTTTCAACCTTCCCCCCATTTTCTGTAACTGTGGGTGTTCAAACCATTAGGCAACCCACTGGTACAGAGATGAGAACAAGGTCAACCTTTCTCTGTTCTTGGTTCAGCTCTGCAGGGTGCTTGGTACAGCAGGAAAAAAAAGAAGAAGAAGTAGGGCCTTAACCCCATCTACACAGGAAAAAAAATATATCCTAGAAATTAGTAAGATTTTGAAGTTTTTAAAATAAAATCTATTTTTATTTTATTTGATCCCCACAGTCACCTTGAGAGATATGCAAGAATTATTACTGGAAAATAGTAACTAAGGAAAGAGACTCAGAAATTAAGCTATTGAGTCAGTTTTGTATGTGTAATAAGCACAGAGAGGGGTGAAGACTGAAACCCAAGCCTCAGAACTCCTATTGCCGGGGACCTTTGCACCTCTGAATGTAGACATTTTGCTCCCCCTAGAGGACTGTGACGTATTTGCTTTAGCTATGCTGAGGAACAAGCTGCTCACACTGGATTGAGACCAGGGGTTCTCACACCAAATATTGCAAAACTAAGGAGTGTATGGATTGCAAATCATTACCAATAGGGCATTCTTTTCTATTTGAGTCTCAGTTTGAAGAAGGAGAGCCAAGTGGTTTGTGAATTACCTCCAGAGTGTCGTGTAATTAGCCAACTTTGAAAGTGCTTTCATTTTAAAATGAAACTTCTGATTGGTTGTTGTTCCTTTTCCCCAGATTTGTTTCTTATTTCTTCTCCTGGTGGTAGTGATAATGTTGAGTTCCCCATTATAGTCTTTTCAAACTCACAATCACAGATACAGAAGAGATGTGGGAACCAAGGGTTCTTTTTCAATGTTCAGTTTTCCATCTATAACACACTCTGAGATCAAAAATGATGGAGTTTTCTTCGTGAATATACAGGGACTTACTAAAAATAATCTTTCTACTTTGCAAAATGTGGCAAGTGGAAATATTCCTTTGGGTTGGCTCTTGCGTAGTAAACATTTGGGAACCATTAAACTCTGTAACGTGAGCGAGTTCATCTGGGATCGTAGCTTGGGCTGACTTGCTGAGTTCACATTGAGCTTTGACAGAGGCCTGGCTTTGGGCATTTGGTTGTCTGATGTTGAATACTACCACAGGATGATGAATTTTAATAATCCCAGTTTGTTCTCTTATAAGCCTATGTAATTAAATACCCGATTCGGAGAACACAGATGGCCCATGGCACAGTGACCATGACCAAAGGAAGCTGTGCCCCCGATCCCTCACTGATGTTTCAAAAGAATTAGACAGGCAGCCACTGGGCCCTTCTTTTGCCTCAGATCCTCATACCTAAGGAACAGTCGGGCATTCTAATTCTGTGTCTTGGGTCCTGTTTCCTGGAGAGGGTTGTGAAGGCTCCCTGAATAAGGTGTCACAAGTAAAACAAGAGTCCCAGAGCTTTAAGTTTTGTGGCCCCTGCATATTAGTGCAGAGTGAGATTCCATCTGGCCTCAATTCCAGTGTGAAACCCTTTTCCATCCCACCTCCTCTCCTCCCCCAATTTTACCCCAGTGTCTTTACCTAACCTCAGTAACTTCAAGCTGCCAGCCTGGACACCTATCTCTTGAAGACTAACTACTTAAAGGCTACAAGAATGTGGGCCTTAACCCCATCTACACAGGAAAAAAAATATATCCTAGAAATTAGTAAGATTTTGAAGTTTTTAAAATAAAATCTATTTTTATTTTATTTGATCCCCACAGTCACCTTGAGAGATATGCAAGAATTATTACTGGAAATAATTCCACAGCAGCTAGGGGTCCAGAGCAGAAAATCCTGCCCACCTACCACCCAGTCACACCAGAGTGTATATTGAAGATGTATTGTAAGAGCAAGAGCACGCCAGGGACATATTGGCTGCCTGGCTTATCTTCCATTGTCAGGTCCTGTGGTGGGTTTTATGCATTGCTGTTCGATCCGTCTTCTTTCAGAAATCCTTGCACTGTACTTAGGATTTTCCTTGTTGCTTCACCCCCCAAGCTGTGCCTCCATGCTCTTCGAAAATGCCAAGGGGAATTATACAACTTGAACTAGTTTGCCATGCTGCTGGGACACTCGTCTGTTACTGATTTCTTCTCTGTTTTTATTAAAAGCATTTCCATTTCCATTTCCCTCGCTCAGAGACCTCTGAGTGTATGTGCACAATTACAAACTGCCGAGTCATCAGCATCCTACCTATTGAGGAATGTCAGGCTTTGGGACATGAGACATTGATCTTGCACAACACTCGGATGAGCCGAGATGTTCTTTGTCACGGAACGAAGGTTCCTTTTTCTTTTAAAATTTTCTTATATAAAGCTGACCTTCATAAGACAGTTGTATTTTTTTGGTATTGGAAACCCTTTGGGATTTTATGAATAAATCTTCAATAGTGTATTTACTTAAAAGAGAGAGAGAGAGAGAGAGAGAGAGAGAGAGAGAGAGAGATGTTTCTCCTTCTAACACAACAGGGAGGTAGCTTGTGTTTGATTTGTGAGTTCTCATGAGTGGCAGCAAGATGGCCTATCTTTTCAGGGTGCCCAGGAGACGATGAGAGCTTTATGGGGAACTGGGATGTAGTTGTCACCTCGGTTTCCAACTAGAAGTGGAAGTGATCATGCAGAAGCTTCTGTGGATGGAAAGAGCGTAGTAGATAAAACAGGGCAGTTTCCCCGCCATCCTCCCTGAGTACATCTTGAGTCATGACATAAGGGACATAGGTATGGACCACTAGGCGTGGTGTATGTGAGTCCCGTGTCCAGCCAGGCAAAGTGGAGGATGAAGGTGAGATTGGGCTTTCTCAGATAACTGAAACCATAGGCCCTTCTCATGTCCTCTCCCTTAGGTCATGACCAAACTGAGTTGAGGCCAAAATTCACTGGGTCAGGGTCCAATTTTCCAGACTCCACTCATAAGCCAAAGAAACTGCTCTCCTGGGAGGCTGCCAGCCCACTTCCACAGCTACCCTGGAGGAGAGAACACCGACTTTCTTAGCCAGCCATCACTCTGAACACCCAAAAATGTGTCTAGCCAAGCCAGAACTCATCAATTTGTTTTCAAGGCACCAGGACCAAGAATGGAGTGCCCCAGTGTCTGCCCAACACTATCACCACCTACCCTTCTTGGTGCTTCACTATGTACTCTGTGGCACTGGGTCTGTCCTGTCAGTCCTCAGGCCCTCTGAAGGAGGGCCTGGTGCCCCTCACCCAGTGGATAAGCAGGCCCTTCACATCAACTCAGGACTCCTGATTTACAGGCTGCTCTTAAACAGACAAACAAACAGAGTCCTTCCCCTGTTGCCTCCCCCTCAAGTTACTGGGCCAACGCCTGAGGCTTCTTGGATTCTGGTTACACACAATTTAACTCTGTACAGCTGTGTTCCTGGTGTCCTGCTCCCACCCCAGCTTCCTGGAAAGGTCAGTTTCCCCAGAATGACTCTGTCCTTCAGAGAAAAGGCTTTCCAACTCCAGGATGACTTGAGAACTCTGAAATCTTTTTTAAAAACAAAGCAAAATTTATATTCTAAATTAAGACTCCTCAAAGAAACAGATTTGTTCATTCCATAAATTTTCCTTGAATATCTCCCCCAGGCCTGGCACCGGCTAGGTAGGTACTACACTGTTACTGATCAGAAAGGACAGGATCTCTGCACTCAAGAATGGAGAGCTAAGTAGACCTGATGTATAAGTATAAATGTGTAATTAACTAAATGCTTGAAGGAATGACAGGGGCAGTGAAAGAAGAAAACGGGAATCTTCAAAGGATGGCCAGACAAGGTCTTCAGAGAAGACGGCAGCGTCTCAGTGACAGCCAGGGCCTGAGAAACAAGCAGCCTTGGCAGTGGGTGGGGGGATGGGGGGATCTGCTGAGGTGGGAGAAGCTTGCATGGTTGAAGAGGCCCAAAGACCAGGGGCTAGAGCAAAGCAGGGGAGGGGAAGGGCCGCCGAGAGGAGACCCGGGGCAAGAAAGCAAGGACCAAGTCTGGGGTCTTCAGGTGCCACAGCGAGAAGTTTGGGTTTATTCAGACAAAATAGGAAGCTAATTTGTGTTTTAAAAATATGATTCTGACAGCTGAGGTGAAAACAGAACCCAGTGGTCCCTTTCATCTGCAGTTTTTCTGTGCACCATTTCATTTACTCAGTCCATAAATATTAAATGGAAAATTCTAGAAATAAACAATTCACAAGTTTTAAATAACTTTCATCATAGACTATTATTATAATTGTTCTATTTTATGGGTTAATAAATGGAGATAACTGCTAATCTCTTATTGAATCTAATTTATAAATTAAACTTTATCATGAGTGTGTATGTATAGGACAAAACATGGCATTTATCAGGTTTGGTACCATTGGTAGTTTCAGGCATCCACTGGAGGTCTTGGGATGTATCCCCCTCAGATAAGGGGGATGACTGTAAAAGATGATAAGTGGGGAGATGAGAGTGTGGTCCAGGTGAAGGTGTTGGAAACTGGGCTTTACTGGAGAGAGATTAATGAGATGGACTTGTGTTGGAAATGAAGATGGCAGGAGTCAGGGGTGACTCCCAGGTTTCTGAGTTAACAAAAGCACATAGGTGAATGACATTCACTGAGAATTATAAGATGGAAGTGGAATCCTTCATTCTAAGGCATACTAAGGCAGTAATTATTATGGTTCTAACAAGAAAATGATCAACCTATTGTTATTTTAATCTTCCTCCTACATAGTTTGCCAGACAATAACAGTTTGGCAGCTAAACAGATTGTCAGCCGCCGTGACTCACTCCAAATAGGTTCTAATCAAGTATTTTGATTGATAGCAGCATTGTTTCAAGAGACAGAATTAAATCCCCATATTCTCTGAAGAATTTGGTTCTTCATTTGAGACCCCCTGAACTAAATCTATCTTAGAAGAGACGTACAGCTTCCTGTTCCCCATTTTTGAAAGAAGTACACAGTGATTAGTTGGGAAGTGGAGGCAGGTGCTTCACAGTCTGTCACTGGGGTTGTTCTATGTTCGAGGTAATGCTAGGGTCACCTTCGGCATTCTCTTCCATTGATCTTGGGGAGGGTAGCTCACAGAGTCCATTTTGAAACCAAGTGACATGGTATTCATTGAACTTTCCCAAAAAGTATTTCTTAAAAATGTAAAAACAAGCTGATTGAATATTAAGGTCTTGGCTAGAAAGCCTGTGGATTATCCCAGTCCACACACAGGCCTGTGCAACAACAAGCCCTGTCCAGACCCACACTTTCAAGGGCCCCACTTTGGCCCTTATCAGTCTTGTCCCTCTAGGGAGGCAAGGAGTTCACAGGCTAAGGATGTGCCACCCAGAGCCTATGTTCTTCCTGCTTCCAAGTTTCAGATACCCAGGATCCCAGAATTCCCCACCCAAACAGTCCTGGGGATAGTGAGTAGGTCCAGAAACCCTAGGGCAAGGGGCAGGCTCTCCCTCTATTCAACTATAAAACTCCAAGGAGACAAACTGGCCTTACAGATTGCTATGAACATTTGTCAAGGACAAGGATACAACATTTCAACAGTTTAGTCATGTGTCTTATGATTTGTAAATATCGGTATTGTTTGTGGGCCTCTGTACTCTTGTCCTAGGCCCTGCTAACGTTGGGGCAGACCTTGAGTTAACCCCAATAAAATGTATCCCCACAAGAAGAAGTGGCTGTCCATGCTGTGACAGATGGTTTGAGGGCAAACCTAAGGCCTTGGCCTTTCCTAAATAAGGGATTACATACAGGACCTCACCACAGTAGAGGGGCTCATGGGCTGGGACAGCAAACCATGCTCACAGCACTTCATGCATTTGGGGGTCCTCCTGCCCCCGCCCTGAAAACAAGATCTAGGAAAGGCAGCAGACCTCCATCTGCCTGCTGCTCGGGGAAACAAATGCCCCAGCTCTTCATTCACGAGGTCATGGGGGTAGGATTTGTTTCTCCCAGGAACCCACACCAGCAAAGCAGCTCAGCTCCATCCTGGACTGATGGGAAAGTGAGATCACCTTCCCACCACCCGGAATTACCATTTGCCTCATAGTCCCATGGGACGTCAGTGAACAGCGCCTTTCTCTCTCTCCCTCTTTCCATTCCTTCTCCTTTCTCCCCACCCACCCACCCACCCCTCCTTGTCTTTTCTCTCCTCTCCTCCTTCCTCACCATCTGCAGTAAACCGGTCCCCTTCTCGCTGCAGCGGCTTGAATCGCTCTGAGTCTCCAAATCGAGAGCGCAGTGACTTTGGTGGGAGCAACACCCAGCTGTACAGCAGCAGCAACAACCTGTACACGCCCGACTACTCCGTCCACATTCTCAGCGATGTGCAGTTTGTGAAGGTAACTCCCCCCGGGGGGGCAGTACCTGTCCCTCTCCCAGTGGGCAGGGTCAGCTGGGGGAGCTGGACCAGGAGTCCCCCAGGCTCAGGCATAATATGTATCCCAGTCTCCCTATTCCAGCATAATGCTGCGTGGCAGCTCCTTGGCTTTATAAAGACCCTGCTCTCAGGGAGCTTTATTGTGGTTGTCACTTTTGAAAGATCTCCTGATCCCTGTTTTTCATATGGAGAAACTGAGGCACAAAGCGATGCGAAATCAGCTTTGCCTGAGACAGAACTATTTCCTTTGGATCCCCTACCACTGACACCAGGTTAATTTCACTCATTTTTTTTTTCAAGATCAATTTGCAGGTGATTTATAAGCCAAGTGTTTAGAAGAAACTGTGCTGTTTTTATATGATAATATATTTATAGGTATAATAGTATATTTTTGCAAATAATATTTAAAGTGTGTGTTAACGGGAAATCCCTTGTAAGAACAATTAACATCAGTTTAGCTTCACTGAGCTATTAAGAAACCCCCCTCTGCACAGGCTGCGGGGTGAGGCAGCCACGCTCCTTGCCGTGCAGTTAAGAGGAGGGAGCTATTTCTTCATACCTTTCATGGGGGTTGGTACTATACAGAAGTCTTTTAAATTATCCTCCTTTCTCTTGCTTCACTAGGTTTTATTGTTTTGTTTTTCTAGCATTCAGCAAACAATTACAAACTTTGGACTGAGATCTTGGCTAAAGTCCCACTTATCCCAGTCCAACAAAACACTCAGTGAGTCCACTTGGTAATGTTGTCCCAGTGTTGGGCTGGATGGGAAGGGTACTGAAGTACACGAATGGGAGAAGTTCCTTTCCGAGTGTCCAGAACACCCACCCTGATTATTTGGAATGGTGTGTGCTGGCTGGCTAGCTGGGTTCCGGAACTCTGCCAACACCCTGAACTAACACATCAGCGGATAAACATAGCCATGAAAAGAAGTACCCATGGGCAGTGACTAATGGAAAAGGGGTTGGGATATTAACTATTGTGTGTGTGTGTGGGGGGGAGGGGGGCAAGAAACTTTACTGAGTCCTTTGAATTATCCTTGCACTCTCCTGCCAGCCTGTGAGGTAGGGACTCCTGTCACTCCCACTGTACTGATAAGGAAATTGAGGCTTGAAGAGCATAAGATGCTGTGGCTTTAGGGAGAGTTGTAGGAAATCAGAGGCAGAGAGAGGTGACGGAGAACCAGCTGAGCAGTACTCACAGGTGCGTGTGATGACCTTTAACAAGTCTAATGAGACTAGCAGGTTAAACCTTAAAAAGCCATAGCTCCTGACTCTGCTCCTGGTGGCTTCCAGGCTATAAGGCTTTTCATAGTTACTGCAGACAGTTCTTGGAGGTGGAGTAGGGGAAATGGAAGAAGGGAATTCTTAATGTGCCAGCTTTTATTGGTTTCTATGGGGCATGGCTTGTAGGAAAAGGAAGGGAAAGCCAAATATAAGTATGTGATTCAATAAATATCTAATCAACATCCTCTCTGCACTTGTCACTGAGAAACTGGCAAAGACAGCAAGTGGCTGCCATTCTGGAGCTTATGTGACAATAGGGGAAGAAAATGATAGACAGGGACCCCATAAATAACCTAGGGGAGTTCAGGTCGAAATAAAAGCCATGAAGGAAATAGGGTTGTGGGTAAACAGTGATCTTCAGGGGAGACCAGAGAACAGAGGAGGCCTCTGCTTTTGAAATGGCTATCAGAGCAGGCCGAGAAAAGGACACTTTTGCTGAGGCTTGACAAGGGAGGTGAGGAGAATATTCAAGATGAAAACAAGAGACAGGGAGAAGTTTCGTAGGTGGAAGATCTGAGAGCTGGCCCGTAGTGAGCAAGTACATTGGGAATTTTTGTTAACTTTATTTCTTGGGTCTTTCCAATTGTCACAGTCATGTCAGTATGCTATAAGAAATTACAATTGACTGGGTGACTTAAAGAACAAAAAAAAAAAAAATTTTTTTTTTTTTTTGTCACACTGTTCTGGAGGCTGGGAAGTCCCAGACCAAGGTGCCAGCAGATCTAGCCTTCTCACTGTGTCCTCACGTGATGGAAAGCAGAAAAAGGAAAGGAGCCACCTTCTTCTTAGAGGGCACTCATCCCACCCATGAGGCTCCACCTCAGGACCTAGTTACCTTTCAAGGCCCCACTTCCAAATAATCTCAAATGGGGAATTGGGTTTCAACAGAGACGTTCTTTTTGGAGTAGGAGGAGACACAAACATCCAGACCATAACATCATTTACATCCTAAGTTCAGAAAGTCATACGATTTTCCAAGACATTACTAGACTTGCATAGGTTGGAGAGTACTTTGGGGAGGTTGGTTTTGTCCCCTCCTCAAGGAGGAATGTGCTCTGACAAATACCTTGCAAGAAGCTGGAAGGATTTTCGTAACACTTACAAATGACCCTGTATCTCCACCCCTAGAACATAAGAAAAGGAATAGTCTACAAATAACAAGGATGTGAGACAGCAGTAGTATTGGGAAACCTCAAATAAGAGGGCCCTTCTCGATCAGGTGTTTGTCCTTTTGTTAGATCAAAGGGCCTTGCTGTGATCTGAGCCTACCCACGCATCTTGAAGTTGAGCACATTAGCCAATTAAAGCATATTCAGAAACCTCTTCAAACTTGTGGCTTCCTTCCCTTAAAAACTTTGACTATAATTGTAGTCCTACACAGGGGAACTTTGTGAGTTCAGAGCTCTTGTTTTAACACATGTGTTTGTTTTGGTTTGATTTTTCTCTTTTGATTTTTAATAAAAAATACCTTATATAAAGATGCAAATCACCTCCTCTTGATTTAATTGGCTTTGTCAGGGCCATTGTTTAGGCTTCCTCCTTTTGTACTCCAAGAAGAGTTTTGAGAAATGTTTTCCCTGCCCAAGCCCCTGCTGCTGGCTGCAGGAAGGGTCCATGGGGGCTCTCTGAGTCCAATGAACTGAAATTCCAGAAGTGTCAAAATCCAGGAGTGATTTGATTTCAAGATAAGTTACAAAATTAAATAGAAAGGTGCATCTAGTGATTATCTGGGAAAAGTTTTAAACACAGCCATGACTAATAGTAATTAATGAACTGACATGTTACTCAATGGAGGGTTCTTATCTCATACATTCAAAGAATGAAGTATGCAAAAGTCTGAGGGTGAGAATTCAGTAGCACATTTATTAGAAACAAGCAAGGAAAGCTCCCACAGCATGGAAGAGGTCCCTCTGAGAGTACTGTTGGGGCCTTTCTGCCTGGGGGCTTTATAGTGTTTTGGTGAGAAACTAATCTTTCATTGGGGAGTTGACTGTTCTCTTTCTCTGGCTCAATCGAAGGTGTACAATTTTAATCTCTTGTTCCCATAATGGGATGATCTAATGTGTTTGTTAAGCTGAGTTTGTCCTGTATTTGTTCCTTAAAACAAAAGAATTACTTGGGTTTAAAACAACTCTTTGGAGTTGACTAATGTTAGGGTAGTGAAGGAAGCGTGGGGCAGCAACAAATGTCTGGGCATCCAGGTGTGAGTGGGGCCTTCCAATTAGGCAGCCAAAAACAAAACAAAAAAAGCTTCAGTCTGGGGTTTTAATCTGGGGTGGTGGTCCTGCCTCTGTTGATGAAGTTATGAAGGTACCAAAGAACCCTTATGAGGAGATATGTATATATCTAAAATATATATTATATATCTATATATATAATATACACATAATATATATATATATCTATATATATATATAGATAGATATAGATATAGATATAGATAGATATAGATATATATAGATATAGATATATATGTATATATATAATGTAGTGTAAGTATTATTATAAACTAAGAATATTTGGCAGTTGTCTTACAGTCTGGATTGTGTGATTTGACCAAAGTACCCCATCACCATCTGGTGGCGGGATCCCTATATTGCAGGATTGTATTTAGAGGGAGAAATAAACCACGTGAAAGTTGAAAGTTCAAACAAAACATCCTAAAATTACAGGAGACATCACACACTAGCCTCAAGGTTAACTTCTCCAGCAACTCAGCTGCCAAGTCAAAATGTTCAAAAAGGTTAACCTTATTTTTTGTTAATTTCTAGATATGCAGACCTACTTGTCCTTTGTAATTCAGAGCTTGCTTCAAGAAAAAAAAAATTTTTTTTTTTTTAGTTGTAGATGGACACCATACCTTTACTTTATTTATATATTTATATATTTTTGTGTGGTGCTGAGGATCAAACCAGTGCCTCACACATGTGAGGTGTCCTCAAGAACACTGAACTGGGCTGGGTTGTGGCTCAGGGGTAAAGCACTTGCCTAACTCATGTGAGGCACTGGGTTCGATCCCTCATGCCACATAAAAATACTAAATAAAGGTATTGTGTCCACCTACAACTAAATAAATATATATATATGTTATATATATATTTTTATATATATATATATATATACACACACATACATATATATATATACATATATATATACATATATATTTTTTAAAAAAGAATACTGGGGGCTGGCATTGTGGCTCAATGGTAGAGTGCTTACCTAGCATGTGTGAGGCACTGGGTTCGATCCCCAGCACCACTTAAAATTAAAACAAATAAAATAAAGGTATGATGTCCATATACAACTAAAAAAAAAAAAAAAGAGAACACTGAACCAACCTGTTGAAGACTTTGGACAAATGCCAGCATTTATAAAGCATAGAACCTACAGTTTTGAACTGAAAAATATCAACACCAGTTACTAACATTCTGCTACTTTATCCTTTAAATTCCTCGGAGGGAAAAAACAAAAAACTTGAGTGGGACCTGTGTCTGATTTTAAGTAGGTCTCAAGTCCTTGGTTTCTATCTCCAGCAGCATTAGCATCACCGGGATCTTTGAAATGCAAATTCTGTTTCTACCTCAGACCAAGGGAATTAGAAACTGTTAGGCTCAGCAATCTTATTTAACAAGCCCTTCAAGTGGTTCTGATGCTGAAGTTTGAGAGTCACTGATTTTGGACAGTTTTACATAAACTGTGTGCTATGATTTGGGTTTGGCTTGGGGTATCCCTCAAAGCTTCATGTGCTGGAACCTTGATCCCCAATGTAATGTATTGAGAGGTGGTGGATTTTTTTTAAAAGGTGGGGCCTAGTGGAAAGTGATTAGGAAATGGGGTTACCACCCATGGAAGGGATTAATGTAGGACTCTCTCAGGATGGGTTATTTTCTGTGAGAGCAAGTTGTATTAAGGCAAGATCACACCATGTGCTTGGCCCCTTGTGTACTCAGCCATTTTCCTTTCCGCTTCTCTACCAAATTGTGAAGTAGCCAGGGAATCCCTTGCTAGATGCCAGCACCATGCTGTTTGGACTTTCCAGCCACCAGAACATTGAACTAAATAAACCTCTTTTCTTTATAAAGTATCCAGACTTAGGTATTCTATTATAGCAACACAAAATAAACTTAGTCTTCTTCAGATGCACTATAAAGTGTGAAGCTAATAAAAATGAACAGAGGGGACTGGTGGCAAACAAACAGCCCCATGTTGCAGCTGCTGGGCTGGTACAGCTTTGGTAAGACCCCTAGTTCACATATCTCAGGGGTTCCAAGTACCCCAAAGGAGTAACTAGTGAGCTCAGGAAAGCTGGCTGCATCCAGGGAAGTACTCTGTTCAGTTCTCCTGAGCTTCTGCTTGCTTCCTTCCAGGTCACACGACAGCAATACCAGAACGCACTCACAGCCTGCCACATGGACAGCTCGCCCCAGTCTCCAGACATGGAGGCCTTCACTGACGGAGACTCCACCAAGGCTCCCACAACCCGGGGCACACCCCAAACCCCCAAGGATGACCCTGCCCTCACGCTCCTGAACCACAGGACCAGCCTGCCATGTAAGTCAATCGGGTGGATGGGCTGGGCTTCTGTGGGGTGAGGATGGCCCTGCCTTCCATCCCTTAGGCCTGCTCAGGGCTGCCATCTTCTGCCTCCCAAAGCCCCAGGTGCCCTCCAAGGCAGAGAGGTGATATGCTCACTGTATTCCCCAGGCAGCCGCTCTGATGGGCTGAGAAGCCCTGGCGAGGTGGTGTACCTGAGGATGGAGGAGATGTCCTTCACCCAAGAAGAAATGACTGACTTCGAGGAGCAGAGGACACAGCAACTCTCCCTGTCTCCTGCAGCCGTTCCCACAACAGCAGGTCAGGGAGGGGGCCCCAGGAGCAAGGGGGATCGCTGCCTCTGCCCCCAGGGGACTAGGATGACCAGGGGCAAGCTGGGTGAGGGGAGCTCTAGGACCCCAGCCCCTGAACCAAACTCTCTCCTCCTTACACAACCATGAAGGAAACACTAACACAGAGCACCTGCCATGCCAGCCTGGCCTAATTCATCCTCCCAGGAAAACCACGTAGAGCAGTGTGAGGAGCTGTTTCTGCCTGGACTCAGACCCTGCCTCCTTTATTTAGGAACTTTGCAATTTTAGGCAAGTTGTAAAAGATTCCTTTTTTTTTATCATAGTAGATATAAATTGTAGTAGCTATTTCGTAAAGTAGCTTTGTAAAAATGAGATAATGAACATATCTAAAGAGCACACCAGGGTGTTTCCATAAATATTAGGTTGTTATTATTAGACCCGCCTTACAGATTAGGAAATGACATTAGTCATCAACCTTGCTGAGCGGACTCTTCCCTTCCTTTGTTCCTGAGGTTTCCAGTTCTATCACCTCCCTTTGACAAGCTCCCAGTGTCCCCGCAGTCCTGTGATCCTTCTGTGCTTGCCTCACCAAGTTTGCAGCATCCCCTCCCCACCCCAGGCCAACAGTTCCTCTCCTGCTCCTTGAGACTACCCCAGTTTGCAGTGCTAGAGACCTATCAGTCCAAAGCAATGACCTGAAAAGGCATATCAGTTTTTAAGGTCAATGAGGTCATGAACACTAACCTGGAAAATCTGGGACATACGTAGTTACCAGTCTAGGACCTGAATTTAGAAGTGTTGTTCTTTTTCTCCCCCAAACATCAAATTTACTAGCTAAAGCATGTAGCTAGAAAATGTAGCAAAGAAATAAGTATGGAGGCAATGGAGGGTTTGGAGAACATCTAGTCCACCATCTGGGGTGACACATGAGAACCCCTGAGGCCCAGGTGAAGGGAATGACTCACACCTGTCCACATGCTGCACCATCAGCCCCACAACTTCGGGTGCAGTGCAGTTGCCAGCACAGCACCCCACTTCCCCAGCTCCATTCCTATTGCATTGATAGGAAGGCTTGGACCCCTTCTCTGCTCTGGGATTCCGTGGCTCTCTGAATAACCACTGGTCATGAGGGAGAATCCAGGGGCATGTGTCCAGTTGTTAGTGAGCCCTGTAGTTGTCTAGGGTTTGTGCAAGTGGAGTAGGTTGTCCTCCCCGTCTTCAAATGTGTTTGAGGAGGGAATAATTTCTGACTTGGCATGGAATGTTGGATTCCTGTGCCTATTCTCCGTCTCTTTGCTCCCTTTGTGGCACTGAAAAGCCTCTTGCTAACTAACAGAGCCAACACCTTTCTTGGGATCCCTCCTTTGTCACACCTACCCGGCCTTGGTTCTTGTCTTAAAGCTGAGGGACATTACCCAGAATCCTCCAGCCTTGATCCCTGAATGTGGAGGTTGACTTGAGTTCACTCTCATTTCTTTTCTCTCAGCATCAGATAATGAATGTTGTAATATCAACCTGGACACAGAGACCAGCCCTTGCAGTAGTGACTTTGAGGAAACCATGGGCAAGAAGCTGCTGAGAACCTTAAGTGAGTATCTCCTCATCCAGACCTAAGCCACGCTGCAGTTTAGTAGGAAAACATACTGGGATCTCCCTCCCAAAGAAGCCATTGACTCCAAGGCAGTACAGTTGTGGAAATCCATAATAGGGCTCAGGTCAGTATTGTACCTTGGTAGTGTAGGAATCTGTCCCATTTAGTTGGTGGTCCTCTAGGTCAGGAGTCTGCAGACCAGGCCCCTGGGTTAAATTTTGACCTCCCACCTTCACTTGTTTAAAAAAAAAAAAGACTAATTGGATCATAGACCCTTTGTTTCTAGTGGCCACTGTGGCAAGGGTGAAGGTTGAGTAGTCGTGACAGGAGTCTGTAAGGTTCGGTTCACAAAGTCTATAATAATTACCATGTAATCCTTTAAAGAAAAACTTTGTGTTCAAGAGATTCCATAAAAGGAGTAGCAGGTATGAAGATTAGTTCAGGGAATGGACCAAGAATTTCTTATCTTCCATAAGTGGACATCAAGGCAGAGAGAACAACGTGAAAATAATCCTTCCAAAAACAACAGAGCTGGAAAAAATGATTCGTCCATCCTTGAGGGAGATTATGTAATTACCCCCACCTTCCCCAGTGCTGAACTAGAGTTCCTGGGGGGGTCACTCCCAGTTGTGCCCACCAACCAGGGCTCCTGGAACATCCATACTGTGTGACCAGTCCTCTCTAAGCCAGTGTGTCTGGAAGTAACTAGGGCTGGACTTTCTGGGGAAGAAAGGCACAATGTCAAGGTGTTACATGGGCTTCATTTACCCAATCCCCTCCAAGAAATGTCCATTGTAGGCAATAGTTGGGCTTGTGGCTTTTCAGAAATGTCACTTTATGTGGAAGGTACATCCTAATCCTTCAAGATTTAAATATACTGATATCAGCACCAGGATAGAATGCAGATGAGTGTCAGCCAAACTTCAAGGGCTGTATCTCCATTTCTGCTTCTATTTTGAAGAAAGCTCAGGCCACTGAGGGAGAATGAATGCCCTTCGGGCCTGCAGATTCAGACTCACAGACTGTGTTTTTCAGGTGGTCGAAAAAGGAAGAGGTCAGCAGATGGGGAGAGAACCTCTGAGGAAAACTCCAATTTAACACCTCTGATCACATGACCAGACAAAGAGCGTTTGCTGGATGTGTGAGAGTCCAGGGCTTTGCGGGAAGGCCGGCCCTGCCCGTCATCTGCTTCCCCCAGGGCCTCCCGCAGGTGACAGAGCATTTCTGCCTTCCTTTCCACCTCTTCACCCCTAGCTGTCGTTTTTTTTTTTTTTGGCAGATTTTTCCTTATTGCCTCCAGTTTGACTCAGAGCCTTGACAGAAGAAGGTGCCTCTAATGGAACATGCTAGAAATGGTCTTGTCCATAGCACAGTCTGGGAGATGACCTCCAAGCTGACAATGCCACTCTGGGACCCCTGACATTCTTCTTTGTTCTTTGGGATCCCCTGTGCCATAGCAGACCCATGTCTTGGGGTTCACCATTCTTTCCTCCAGAAAAAAATGATAACTTCGTGCCATATCTCATGCTTAGCTTAACTCAGAAGGTGCCACTGGCAGATAGGCACAAAGGAGGCTGGAGTAGCAGGTATGAAGATTAGTTCAGGGAATGGACCAATAATTTCTCCAGAACTTTGGAGAATGGGACTCAGCTGTGTTGGGCTGTGATTAATGTTACAGCACAGAAAATTGTCAGTGACTGTTCCTATTAGATAGCAGCTTCACAGCCTGGAGACGTGTGTCTCAGCTGGACTGGAAAGAATGTAAGATGGAATCTCAAGTCACTGTTTTTCCCAGGGACACATCTGTTTTGGCTCCTAATCCACAGGCATTAATCGATCAATGAATCTGCTCTGGAAGAGGAGGAACAGTGAATGGAGAAAGCCAATTGGGAGCCAGAGATGGAATTTCAGGTTTTAAGTGAAAAAAAGAAAAACGAAACAGAAAACTGATATGGAAAAGTTCTAAGCTATTAAAGCAAGTTTAGCCATGACAAACCAAAGAGTGCCCAGGTCAGCCAAGAAGGATGTATGTGCGCATGGGACTTCAGTGTGCATTACACAGGAATGTTGAAGAATCACTCTTCTTCTTCATCCATTTCCCCCACCCCTTACTAAACACCGGCAGGTCGCTAAGTGTACTTTATTCCAAGAACTTAACTACACCTGAGTTTTCTCCTGAATGTTGGAGAACCACAAGGTGGAAGAATGACTGCACATACCCACTTCCAAGTTGTGATCAGGAATCACCACAAGCTTAGGAAAATCTTGGAAGTAAGTGCAGTTTGTCTGTGGGGCACCTGTCTGCCTTTCCAATCTATTTCCCACCCATTCGAAAGCCCTTAGTTAGGGCCCAATGATCTTGTGCTGCCTGATGAATATTCAAACCATTCCCAAGCATTTCCCTGTTGCACACCATTTGAGCCTCCCTCCCCTTTCTCCAAACCACCACTCCCTCTCTACACCCAGTCAATCAGTTTCCTGGGAAGTAGGAGACCAGCAATTCCTCTGGGTTATTTGCATCTCAAAGGAAAATGCTTACCCACAGGAACCTTTGACTCAGGAGTTCTTAACCTGGGGTCCATCACCCCAGGGGGGTCCATTGCTGGACTTCAGAAGGTTCCTGAAACCTTCAGAAGGTCTTAAAACTGTCAGAATTTAGTGTATGTGTTCTCATGTTTTCCAGAGAGTTGAAAGTTTTCATAAGCTTAAACTTCTCAAAGTTCTCAGACCCACAAGGGTTAAAAAATAAAAATTAAAAAACTATTTTCATTAGTGGAACTTTCAGCCCAGCCTTTCTGCAATGCAGAGTGAATACTGGGCAGTTCATTTTTAATTATAAGTGGTCTTCTCCAGTGTCCCTCAATTGATGGGAAAGGCTGGCATCTACCAAGAAGCAGGAGTCCTCAAAAATTCACACCCTAAAGTATTATACAACCTCCATCCCACATAACTTTGGCCTATCACCCCCCCACCAAACCAGAACAGGTATTGCAGACCGGAGGACCACAGCATGTGGGAGTAAAGAATTGAGCTGGAGTTGCCTCTTCCAGCAAAGCATTACTGACTTTGACACACCCCTGGCCTGGCCTGGCCTGGCTGGAGGCTCAGCATGCATGTGTTCTCTTGCTAACTCCACAGCCACCTACTCCTCACCTGCTCTTGCCTGGTTGGAACAGAGAGGGTAAGCCCTCAGTGCTGCCTCAGACCCAGACTATTTATAGTGAGTTTTGAGCAAGAACTGCCATCCTGCAGTCTTCTTGCCCAGCTGGCCACTGGCCCACAGGGGCCTACCTGGCCAGACTTCCACCAGGCTCAGCCCACTCCTGTTGCTTTGTACCTATCCCTTGGCAGAACCCCTGAGGAGCTTGTCACCACTCCTCTCCCTATCCCCACCCCCAAGTATTTTCTTCAGGTTAAAAAAAAAAAAAGATTTTAAAATAAAGCATTTATGAAGGCTCAATAAATTGTAAATAATTTTTAAATAAAATGAAAATGCATTTCCTGGAATGTGGCTGTTTTCTTTGCCCCTGGAAGTGGAGTTCAAAGTGGCTTCACTTGAGCTGCAGGTTGGATGGTGCACAAGTGTAACTAACTCTACCTCTGGCTATCTGCTGACAAGGGCACCTCTCAAGGCCAGGAGTGAGGCTGAGGAAGGTCACTGGGAAGCCCTGGTGCTGTACTCTGAGAAGCAGGTAGATGATTTTGCAGGAGCAAATGGCAGATAGAGGAAGTAAAACCCAGACAAGAAAGGAGCACTAAAAGGATGAGGAGAGCTGGCATGTGGTGGTGAGGCACTGTGGTGGGAGCTCTCCAAGTTCAAGGTCCTGGGTGTGGATGCAGACAACCTCCAGCCTATGCACTGGTCATCCTGGCTTGCCTCTGCAGACCCTTCAGGAAGGAGTCAAAGTGGCACAACTCCAGCCATTTCCAGCCCAAGGCTGGGGGAAGGACCAGGGGAACAGCGGGCCAGACCTGTCAGTGAGTTGTAAATCAGTGCAGGAAGGCGAGAGGCCAGAAGAGATGTCCCTGGGCACGGAATGGAAAGCTGAAATCTGTTCATTTTTTCAACCAGCAAACAAGACAATGGATGACCTGTGCCCAAACAAGCTTGGCCTATGCCAGGAACCTTGATGAAGGCTCTTCATTTCATTAACAGTAATGATGAATTACAGTATCAACTATTTTACTTTGGGCTTTAGGTATCCATTGCCTCACTTCTTTCTCCATGGTGCTCCTGAGAGATTGGATGACTCAGAGGTCCGAGTGCCCTGCTCATGTACAGGGACCATCTGCTTAGTAGTCCTGCCTCTGACCTTCACCACACACAGCCCTGAGAAGTCCTGCAGCTTTCCCCAGACTTACACAGAGCCCTGGACAGAGTGGGGGATATACTGACCAGAATGTAGGTTAGAATTAAGAAAACCAAACTCCCATTGAGACTGGGCTTTTAAAAAAATTTTTTTAATAATAACATTTTAGCACTTTGGTACGGACACTTAGGCTTAAAGCAGTTTCTTAATGATTTTCAATGATTTGAGCAAGAGAAATTAAACACTAAGATTTGGTTGGGTAGGACTGTATTCTGGAGGGCCACAAATGATTTTAATATCAACTTTCCTTGCTCCCAAGAACCAAGTTCTGCCTGTACTGTCATCCCCATGCAGGATGGGTTAAAGCCACATTTGGAGAAAATGATAGAAGACTGACAGAAGGTAGACTCATTCAACTTATATTTTGGCTCCTTCCCCTACAAATCATAAGCATCTTTAAAGTGGAAGAACAAATGTTGGTAAAAGGGAAATGAGAACTGAACGCACGAAGATGACAGCATCTGATCACTTTCAGTCCATCCCTATCCACCAGGCCAATAGATTCAGAGAAAAGATAATTGGTTAAACGCTTATTTTGCATTTGGATCTACTATGGAATTTCAGCCAGATGCTGAAGGATCCAAAAACTATAGCCTGTTGAGAAACACTGAAGAATGAGGGGAGAGGGGGCTCATGTGGAAAAGCAGAAACAAGGAATGAATGCTACTTTCACATACTTGAAACGTCATCCATTACAAATGCCAGTAGACTCACTGTGGTTAAAAGCAGGGGAATAGGACAAATATGAATCAAATTCTGGTTCAAGGTAAAAGATCCTTTTAACCAAGGGCTCCATCAACAGAACAGGATGCCTCACCAAGTATGGAAGGAATCCACCCCCCCAGGTGGAATGAGTCAGGGACAATACAGAAGAGAATATTTCACAGGGGGACAAAGGCTAGACTTGGTGACTCCTAAAATGTCAATCACCCTTCAAGGCTAGGAATTTATAACTCATAGGAGTCCTAGAAAGGAGCAGATCCTATTAAAATACTATTTTGAAACTCCTAAGTACTAAACCTCTTAAGAAACAACCCCACCAAATTCTACAAAACCACCAGTTGGAGATTTCTGGCACATGGAAATTGTGATCTATGTTCAACCGGCTGTAATCCTTCTGATAGAGCAGATAATCCTTCCAACTTCAATAGAAGGGGCTAGTATTCTAGAATCATCCAGAGTGAAGCTATCCTTCCCATGAGTCCATGAAGTCCAACTTCTTAATACAAGAAGACAGCTGGCTTCTGAATGACGAGCCCACAAAACTGACACACTTTTTTAAAAATTTGTTCTTTTTAGTTATACATGACAGTAGAATGTATTTTGACATACCAGATATACGTGAAATATAACTTCTCATCTTAGTGGTTGTACATGATGCCAACACAGACTTTTGAGGATAAGGTGATTTCACTAAAGGGATTTTTAAAAAATTTCTTTGTAGTTGTAGATGAACAGCATGCCTTTATTTTGTTATATTTTTATGAGGTGCTAAGGATCGAACCCAGTGACTCACATGTGCTAGGCAAATGCTCTGCCACTGAGCTATAGCCCCAGCCCCAAAAGGGACTTGTATTTTGAAAATACATTTTCGTTTTTCCTTTAGCCACTAGTGAATCCCTCTAAAGTCTTCATTTTCAACTGTGCATCACAACCCATTAATGAATCACAAAATCAATTCCATGGGTCTTGATCAGCATTTTTATTTTCCCAATGAAACAGAACACAATTGAATAGAATAGAAAAATCTTAGAATACACTACACATGGCAAGGGTTGATACTGTGTCGTGAAACTTTTTTCAGTTAAGCGCAAGTGTGTATCTGTGTCATGATGTAAATACACTTCTTTCCACAGTCATCCTATGGAACTAGTTGCAGACTAGCAACACGACCATGCAGAAGGAGCAGGGAGACAAGACACAGGGTGGAGATGATGAGTTTTAATGCCACAGCCATCAATCACACGTGGCTCCTTCAGACAACATGTTCTTTTGGGACTAGACTTTGTTCAGAGTCAGATAACACGCAGCAGAAGCACACAAACAGCACTCCCACTTCTAGCAAGGGGGCAAGGTACCCACGTCTCATGATCAAAATATTTATTCTTAAATAAAAACCTTAATTTTCTCTGGCCTTCAAAAGGTTCTAATCTCAAGCCCCCAATTATTTTCAAGGATGTTCTCTTCACGTGGGGCCAACTTAAATAGAGGCAACCTTTCAGTTCTTCAGTCATCTCTAATCCATGATATGTACAACTAGGTTTGCGCAGGCAGGGAACACACGTGACACAGCAGCTTTGGTGGTGTGGACTGGATGGTGTTTCTTCACTGGATTTTGGTAACTGCTTCATGGATGGAGGTAGCCACATAATCTATATTTTTGGTGGTTAAGCCGCACATGTTGATCCGACCACTTGGCAGTAGATAAATGTGCTTCTCGTTGATTAGATACTCAACCTGCTTGGCTGTTGAGAACCAAAAGAAGACAGAATCAGAGTCATAGGGATCATTACCCAGTGGACAATTTTCCTTCTTTGCTCTTAACATAAAGAAGCAAGACAAAAGGAGCTATTCTGTCCAAATCACAAACAAAAATATACTTGCCAGATTCTGAAAAGCACTCCTATTAGTTGACTTCCTAGTCCCCAGAAAGTTCAACATGACTACTACTGATGGCATTTTAACCTGGAACTACACGACCAAACATCCACCAAGTCCCCATAAACTAAAACAACCACCAGACTTAAAAATACTCCGCTGACATGAAAAACTGGTTATACGGTGCTCCCTTTACCACTTCCCCAACCTGCTGGCTGCTCCTGGGCACCTAGCAGCAACTTCTCTTTGACATTTCATTTTTACAGTACGTTAGACAAGGTACCATGCATTGGGTACTTGATAAATGCTGTGTGAAGGAACCAACAAGCCGGAAAGCTACACCTCTGGCACCCCCAGCTCCTCATTTCTCAGCCCTTCCTCTCAGATGCAGAAGGGGGTTCCATTTTGTAGAAATGCCACATGTGTGAAATAGGAAGGGACAGCCTTGATGCTATGATGCCTTAGAATGGTTTTCCTTTATTGCAGATCCATGATAGAAACTCTAGCCATTTTGCCTAATTAGCACATTGAAGACACCACCAATCTGAGTGAAGAGGGTAATAATAATAAAATCATAATATAATCAAAAGGGCAAATACTATGTGCTAGGCAGTTTCTAGGCACTTCAACTCTGATAACTTTGTCATCCCCATTTTATAGATGAGGCACAGAGAAGTTAAATGTCCTTCTCAAGGCAGCTGGTAAGTGTGGATGTGTGACTTTAAGGCTGAGTCTGGGCTCTCCACTGCCTCTCTGTAGAAGAGGAATCATGGACTCTGGACTCTGTGCTGCCACATGCCCCTCCAAACGAACAAACAAAGCAAGCTTCAGAAGTCATCCGACTGACTTTAACCGTGTGAATGATAGTCATCCAAGGAGATAAAGCCAAACCTCAGGGCCAAGAGAGCCACAGGCTTACCCCTGTTTATAAAACCAGAGCCCTGGAGGCAGGTGTTGTTACAGGGCTCCTCCCATCCTGGTTTGTTTGTTTGTTTGTTTTCTTCTTCTTCTTAATAAAAATGTGATAAGTTGATAAATAGTAATAAGCTCTTTCCCCAAAAAAAATAGCCAATATCCACACATGCAATTTGGATACTGTAATTCCAGGGGCTTCACAGATCTCCTAAAGTACATCCACAGACTAGGTGCAAAGCCCTGTTCTGACAGGTGAAGGGTAACAAAGGAAGTATACCATGAGAACTGCAGAAACTGGGGTGGGCACATGGGGACTCTATATAAGTCCTCCAATTTTTCTGCATGTTTTCCTAATAAAAGATTGGGAAGAGAAGGAGGGGGAAAATGCTGTTTTTGTAAAAGGACAAATGATATCAAGAAGTGCCAACCATTTAACTTCAATGTTATCAGCACAGGTCTATTCTCATCACCTCTCAATTCATGACAAAACTAGTTTCCAATCCTAGACAGCAGGAGGACAAGGCTGTTTTGTGGGGAGACATCCCCATCGTGTGAGCTTTTAGAATATTACTACTAAAGACCATTTCTATTACACTTGATATTTTTACAATTATAT